CTTTTATTTATACATCTTTTAAACATTTGTTATATACTAGTAATCTTAATATCATGAGACATTTATTCCAAAATAAATTTACCATCCTTTGTAAGAACTTTCCTAGTGGGGGTATTAGGCAATGTTTTCTCATAATTTTGTTTTGGACAGGGTTTCCCTGTAGCATCAGCCAGCCTGGAACTCACTATGTAGACCAGGCTGACCTTGATCTCACAGAGATCCCTCTGTCTCTGCCTTCCAAGTGCTGCTATTAAAGGCATGTGCTACTATGCCTTGCTTGTTTGTTTCTGAGACAGGGTCTTACTGGGTAGTCCTGGTTGATTTGGAACTCACTATGTAGACCAGACTGGCCTTGAACTTACAGAGGTATGCCTGCCTCTGATCTTGAAGTGCTGAGATGAAAGGCATGGACCAGTACACCCAGCTCTCATAAGTTTTAAATGATAAACCAGTGTTTGATTCCATCAATGTTTTTCTAGTTTGTCTTCAATTGCTGTGACAAAACACTCTGACCAATACCAACTCAGGGAGGAAAGGGTTTATTTGACTTACATCTCCTGGGAAAAGTTAATCACTGAGGAAACCAAAGATAGGAACTCAGGGCAGGAACCCACAGTGGTGCTAGGCCCTCTTGAGTCACTCAACAATCAAGAAAACGTCCCACAAACATGGCTATAGGCTAATCCAATGAGGAAATTCCCCAACCGAGGCTCCCTCTACCCAGGTGTATCAAGTTGACCACTAAAGCTACCCTGCACAAATGTGAACAATAAATCAATCATGCCAATTAAGTTAAAGTCAGAAAATTTTAGAATAGCTGAGAATAAATCATAAGAATTTGACCAGTTTAACTTGAATCAGTAACAGCCTAGCAAACAAAACGTTTTAGTAATCCAATTTTAATTGCCTAAGATTAAATCAACACATTTTGTTAAAGGGGTTTCCTCAAGTTTGTGGAGATCTGTGGACCGAGTTCTCTCTGGGTCTTTTGCACTATCAGGCAAACCATATAACATATCTTTATGTAAATTTATTATTTCCGTGGTGGAGGGGAGACTCACAAAGAAATGAACACCCAGTGCCTAGCTCTGTGCCGCCCAGCTCCGTGCCACTCAGCTCTGCACCGTGGCTCGGAGCCTGCCATTCCAGATTGTTCCTGCTGCTGGCCCATAGTCACCACTAGCTTTTGTCCATACCTCAGGGGCCAGCAGTCTCACCCCAGGTCCGTAAGTGCCAGGCCATTCTGTTCTTGAGTGTGCCCAGCCGCTGCGCCTCCTTCGCCATTGACGGCTCCAGTTCAAGACTGCACCACAAGGCCCTCCTTCCAAGGCTAACTCTCCACAGTCAATTCTCCACAGCAGGCCCCGCCCCATGGAGGAAACAGGCAGCTTGGGACACAAGATCATTTCTGATTTTTTAATTATGTTTAATTTTGTAGCTTTAATTAACTTTGCATTATTGTCAGTAGTGATAAGCAAATTCTCTACTATTTTAAGGCTAAGGAGGGAACTGGTTTGTCTCTTATTTCTTTAGGGCATGACAAGCCTATGGGTGGCTCCATTTCTCCGGTATCTTGAGGGGATGAAACTTTAGTGGGAGGTTCCCACCCAAGTACATTGTTAGTAGCAAAATAGAAAACCCCATAAATTGCTTTAACTACGATTTTTTTTTGTTTGTTTTCTTGAGACAGGGTCTCCCTGTAGCTCCAGCTTGAATTAACTTGCTATATAGTCCAGGCTGGCCTCCAGACATCCACCTGCTTCTCCCTCTTGATTCAAGGATTCTACTTCTCACCTCCCTGGGATTTAAGGCATGGATAACTATGCCTGGCCACTATAAACATTTTTATATTATGAAGTAACCAATAATGATTTCCGTTGGAAATACTTTATCCTTTAACTGATTTCAAGGGTAGAAGGCCTTTATCACAGGACTATTTTGTTTTCCTCCTCTTGGTCTCTGAGTCAGGGGAACAACCTGATTCAGGAATTTTTGTGGGAAATTTTGAGGTGAACCTGCTTGGATCTGTACTGGAAGGGCTGAATCTCATCTCCAGAGCCAGTTTCTCAGTATATGTAAACAGCATATGACAATTTAGCAATATGCATAAAAGGCATTTCTCTGTAAAATTGAACCTAGTGGTTTGCATTGGGAAAGGAAAGTGACAAAAGTCAGAATATTTCATTTTGAAGGGTCACTCTCTGAGGTCCTTAAATTTTATGAGTATGTGGCATTTAGGACTCAAAATCAAGGAGAATCAAGCCAATAAAAACATACTTTTGCTCAACTTGACTTTCACCCTAGCTATATTTGGGGTGACCAAATGCTTGAAAGCTTATATCTATGATTAAGTTGCATCTATAAACGGAGTCAGACAATCTGAAAAACTTAAATGTCTTCTCTCCTATATTGATATTTTCCATTAGAAGCCATTTTTTATTCTCCAGTTTAGGCTAGGCTTGAATGGAGAAAACCATTTCTCTCTCTCTCTCTCTCTCTCTCTCTCTCTCTCTCTCTCTCTCTCTCCTCCCCCCTCCAAGCTAGGGGGTGTCTTGTTATTCCCTGCAAGATAAATGAACATATATATTTTTCCTCTGACTTATGTGAGCTTGTTCTTGGCAAAAATCTGATAATTAAACTTCCAAATTAAATAATCTCCATCAAGGGTAGCTTTAGTTATCATATGCCAATAGCAAAGAGGAAACTGAAGCCTTGCCATATTTTCTACTTAATATGCTGTCACTGAAAGCCTAAGGGCCTTAATGTTTCTGTAAAGCATTCTTTTTTTTTTTTTGGTATTTTTTTGAGACAGGGTCTACCTATAGCCCCAGCTGTCCTGGCACTCACTATGTAGACCAGGCTGGCCTTGAACTCACAGAGATCCGCCTGCCTCTGCCTCCCAAGTGCTGGGATTAAATGCATACGCCACCACGCCCGGCCCTGTAAAGCATTCTTTATCAGGTTGAAGTTTATTTTTATCATTATCAGTGAAAGGGTTAATTTGAGGGGTTGTCATAGGCATAAGCTTTTCTTTACATTCCTACATCTTCCAAAACATGTTTAATTAATCTCCACGTAGAAAAAACAGAAACAGAAAGAGAAGCTCCAGATTGATACACCAGTTTCATATTTTTTCCTACTTGGTCCCAGCATTTTGGGTCTATAGTACCTTCATTGGGGAACCATAGGTTACATTTAATCATAGCTTCTAACAATCCCTCTATTTTAGATTCTGACATCTGAGTTCCTGATTGCTTTAATATGCACTTAAGAAATTTAACATAATATTTATTTTTTTGAGACTTATTCTTCCTCATTACTATCCTTGTTCATACAAAACTTAAAAGGAGGATTTTTGCACTCATATCATGGTCATGACTGTGCTGAGCACCCAGGGTGTTGTCTGCCCTCTATAGTTTCAGTTTTTCATTTTCATTTTCTCTGCCCTTAGCAGACCTTCTCTTCAGGTCCCTGTTCAGCACCACTTGTGTCCAGTGTAGCAGAGGTTCAGGGAATCCTCAAAGAGGGACAGCACAGCATGAAAGAAAGGTACAACAGTTTATTGCAGTCTCAAGAGTAGGGTACTAGAAAGCACTCGGTTGAGGGAATATTTCTTTAGCTTGCATAAATAGAACGAGCGAAGACTATTTCTTACACTGGGTGTGGTGGCACACAACTTTAATCCCAGTGCTCGGGAGGTAGAGGCAGGCAGATCTCTGTGAATTCAAGGCCAGCCTGGTCTACATAGTGAGTTCCAGGTCAGCAGGGGCTACAGGGAGACCCTGTCTCAAAAACACCACCACCACCAACAAAAAAGACTTTTTTTTCAGTGCAGTCTTGTGAAAGCTTCCTCAAGACTTCTTGGTATGGTATTTTAAAACAACTTGTTTGCTAAAGTGGAAAGTAGCTAAACATAACAGGACTTATGATCTGAGGTTAGAATTCCTTTTTCTTATTTAGTCAGGGGTAAGGGACACTGTATTCTTTTATCTGCTTCAACACAGACACCTATACCGCTTTTTCCATGTAGACATTCCTTTTTTTTTTTTGGTCTTTTTGAGACAGGGTCTTCCTGTAGCCCCAGCTGTCCTGGAACTTACTATGTAGACCAGGCTGGCCTTGAACTCACAGAGATCTGCTTGCCTCTGCCTCTCGAGTGCTGGGATTAAAGGCATGCGCCACCACACCCGGCCCATGTAGACATTCTTGACCAATTGCATCATTGCACTTAGTCAAGCACATTTTCAGCAGCATTCAGATAAAGTAGTGGTCTCCAACAAACAAAGATTAGTATGTCTAGCTGTAGCCCGAAAATGATTTATTCCTCCCAGTCTTCCTCTGACAAGCCATGGGCAAGCGCAGGGCACCCTGGGAAGAAGGGTGGAGCCTAGCGAGACAGGCGATTGGAACGAAAGTAGGAGGATTTGGCGCCATTCTGGGAAGCAGGGAATAGGGAGCAGGTGAGCCAGCCTTCCCTGGACCCCTTGGGGCACCAGGGGACCTCTCGAGGACCTGTGGACCCCTCATGGAACTCTGTGGGGTGAGTGGGCGTGCTAGGAGGTGAGATAAGGCAGACTGTGGGCAAAAGTGATCTGGAACAGTGGGCCAAGTGGTGCAGAGCTGGGTGCCAGGTGTCAGGTGTTTGTTTCTTTGCCGCCCCCTCCAAAGGTATAAACGATGCAAAATTCAGATAAAGATATGTTACCCACGTCAGGAGCAAGGGACTCTAAGAGAATTCAGGCGACACTAGCAAAGTTATCCTTTAAGATTACTGAAGAAATAAAAAGCTTCTAAAATAAACACAATTTAAGCAAATAATTATCACTAAGCCAACTTTGTAGAAGAGACTTAAATGAATCCCACACACAAATGAGGAAGAAAGATAGAACCATAAGACCTTGAGAAAGAATAAAGTTCATGAGGGTAATGATGAACAAATGAGGATTAGAAAAGAATCAAACATGCTAAACTCAGTAAAGCAGCAAACTCCTACAATGGGTGAGGGAGAAAGAAAAGAACAAGCAGCACTTGGAATCAACAATGGAAAAAAATTCTAACAAAATTATAGGAATCAGCACATACCTGTTAATAGTAATACTAAATGTAGGTAGTCTTAACTGTACAATGAAAAAGCACACTAATTAGATAATGGATTCAAAAACAATCCATTTTTTTTGTATACAGAAAATGTATTTCACTGGTCATGACACAACAGACTGAAAGTGAAAGGATCAGAAATGGTATATACCAAGCAAAATGATTTAAAAAGTGAGCTAGAGTAGCTATACTCATATCTGACAAAGAGGGCTTGTAGCCAAAGTAAGTTACTACATACTAATGAAGAAAATAACCCAAGAAGCAATAGCTAGTATATATGCCTGGTGGGCAAGATGGCTCAGTGGACAAGTGTACTTACTATCGAACTTGATGATCTGAGTTTGATTCCTAGGACCCACCTGGTAATTAGAACAAACTCCTGCAAGATGCCCTCTGACCCCCCATGTGCTGAGGTGTGCACTTCCCCCTGTAATACACACACACACACACACACACACATAAATGTATTTAGAAAACAAAATACTAGTTGGGTATGGTGGTGCATGACTTTGATTCCAGTACTCAAGAGGCAGAGGCAGGTGGATCTCTGTGTGATCAAGGACAGATTGGTCTACATAGCAACTTCTAGGCCAGCTAGGGCTACAGGAAGACCCTGTTTCAAAAAAGAAACAAAAGTTGTTTTAAAAAATATGCACCCTGCAGTTTCATGGTTCTAGACGTTGGGTTCAGTTACACTCAGGATGCAGCGTGGAAACTGTAGCCACACTTCTCAGGTGCCCCCTTCTGCCAGCCTTGCCACTCAGATGAAAACTATTCCTAGGCCAGCACCCCATGTGGCTTGGCCTCCAGCAGCAGCTGCACCATCTGCAATTAGCTCATTTCTTGTACCTGGAAACCAGGCTTGATGGCCCATATGGCAAGCACTGCAGCTAGTGTGACTGGGCTCTGCAGTGGGGCACACACTGGGGCACACCATCACTGGAGGCTTCAGTGGAGGTGGTAGTGCTGAGCCTTTAAAGCCTGACATCCCTTACCAGGTGCCTCAGGGAGCCCAGCTGATGGAGCAGCAGTCTGGTGGCCCTTACCTTTTTGAGGTTTTTGGAGTGTGCCCAGAAGCAGAGTGACATCAAGCTCTGCGAGGGTTTCAAAGAGATGCTGAAGCAGTGCAGGCTTGCAAATGGAGGGCTTCTCTAATCAAGAAGTTCTAGTTGAAGAATTGGAAAATAGGCTCTGATGGCCAAC